AGAGCTACTGGAAAGCGAAAAGCGTGAGTATCATTAACTCTTTTTTATAACTTACATTATGAGATATTCTTGTTTCTAAATTAATGTTTGATAAAAGTAAAGATATTGAAAAGGATGAAAGCACCGAACTTCCATCTATAAAAAAAAAATATATATATATTAATTGAAAGTAGCTCCTTAGTAAACAACAGTGACAAGAAGTTGATAAAATAAACAAAATAAATACAGATTTTGTATTTACCGGTTTAGCTGCTTTATTTTGATTGCCTTGTCAAACTAAGTCAAATGAATGATTTCTTTAAACAATTTAACCAAACACACACCTTTGTTTTAAGTTACTAACCGTGGCAACTTATAGCATTAATGCAAAAATTTGAGACTACAAAAAAAATATGTAGCGTTATTTTATATTTTAAAATTCCCTGTTACGGAAGTTTTAGAAAAGACCAATAGTACAAAAGAAAATATTGTTCAATTATTCAATGCTTTACTATGATCAGTCTAAAATAAATCATTTTATGGTACTTTTATATGATGAAATCATTGATTTCATAAATTGAGATGGTAAATCATTATTATTCTTTATTAATCAAATGTCATCATTATTGAATTAATCATTAATTTTAGTGTCGGCAGATAAATTTAAGTTCCTTATATATGCAGAGATGGTAAATGACTAGTCATTTGTCATTTCAAGGCCAAAATGACTTTTAGAAGGTCATTTAATACGTATATTTTAGTTAATATTCTAATATCTTTTAACCAATCAGAATTGGCCGCCAAGCAAAATTAAATCGTAGCTATATCAGATATATCAAAATCAAAATTTTACTAAATCAATGCCTTAAGTAAAGTTGATCGGAATAATAAATTGCATATGTCCTGTAAATCGAATAACTTTTTATTAATTCACTTCTTCTATATTAAAAAAATTTTAAATTGTTTCGTGTAAACGTAATATGCGGAATTAATAAAAAGATATTTAATTTACATAAAATTTTCAAAATACACGCAATTTATTATCCCGAAAAATTTTACTTAAGGCATAAATATTAATTGCTTTGTAAAATTTTAATTTTAGTATATAGCTACGATTATCGATTAGAAAGTAATAAAGTTCAATACCTTTTATATGAGTAATTCAACCAATAAAATTACTTTATATTGAGTGCGGCTAAGGGAAAACCTCGATCTTGTTTTTTTGATAAACTCAGCCGCGATCCAAAACATGTGTGATTCATATGTTTCAGATCATGGCTGAGTTTATCAAAAAAAACAAGATCGAGGTTTTCCCTTAGCCGCACTCATGCAAATGATCCAAATGACCTTAATGATCCAATGACCTAGTCATTATTGATAACTTGAGGGCATTTAAATTTTGATCAAATAATTAGGCCATTTATCATCCCTGTATAAACAGGTATATGTACTTGATTTTGGTGGCGATGCTAGGTGAGTCGGTTTTCCCTTGACGGCACTCATATGACAATTATAAAAATATCAAGAATGACCGATAAAAATATTTTTGAATAGTCGCACGATTGAATATTAGATTAAATCATGTTAACTCACAAATATCTAATGATGAAATACTCAAATATGATTAATTCGCTATATTTTTTATACATATATGAAAGAACTTTTTTATAATAAATCGGTTGGTCTATTGACGGCAAAGGTAGCATGAAAGTTATCTTTGTTAGGACCTTTGCACCAAGGAACACTCTGGATCAATCATTTCTCAAGTAGTTGATTTCAATCAACGGTAAAGGAATTTTTTGCCGATAAGGTCTACTGACTTTGAGGGTGAGGGTTGTTACATTATTCCTGTCGTTGGATAAACTTTGTCTAGTAAAAAATATTATTATTAATTTGGTTTGGGGTTGTTAATGATTGACTCTCTATCTTTAATAATAATAATAATCCGGTGTATTATTATTAAAAAAAATGAGTTAATAGGACGCCCCATTATCAACCACAGTTACTTACAATAGCTTGACTTAAAAGTCGATACAAATAGTTTCAACATTAGTACACTGTATGATATATCTATCTTAGCAGTAGACAATCAAAAAAAATTCATTATATTTTTTCAAAATGAATCAAAATCAAAATTCTTTTAAAAAACATAAAGTAGATGAACAAAAATCTGAAATGTCTAATTTTAAGTTTGGAACTATGGAAAATTATATTACTGTATTAAAAGTACTTTCTAAAAATTGTAATGTTGCTAAAAAAAAAAAAAAAAAGAAGTTTTTAAAGGTTAATGTTATAAAAAATTTTATTATTTAACGCATACTATATAGATACATTTAAAGATAGTACAGTGAATGTATTTTAGTCCAATTTTATTAATAGGTATCTATAAGTTTAGTATACTAAATTTAGTACTATAGCTATCCCAGGATCTATCCCAAAATCAAAATCCGAAAGTCAAAATCCCAAAACTTAATTCAAACTCCGCTTATCGTTATGATTAGTAATCTATATTACTAATCATACGCGAGGTTTGAATATTGAAGCCCCAACATCACACGACATGATCATTTAGAATATAGAAACTAGTGTTCTAAATCGAAAATCGATTAATCGATTGATGATTTTATTAGACAACTAATCGATTGTCAACGACTAATCGATTAGTTGACTAATCGACTAGTTGTTTTTATACAGTATATATCATACTTTGATCTTGTAATTTAGTAGCTGCGCAATTATATCCAATTAATTAGTCAATTTATTGCGGTTTGCAAAATTATGTGAAATTGGAAGATCATTAAAAAAAAGTAATCACGATTTCTGATTACTGATTTCAACATTTTTTTGACTTTTAGATTAGACAAAGAAATAAAAGTTGCATACTCATCATTTTGTAATATATTTGCAGAAATAGGAGTTGCAAATTAAAATATTCAATCAAATTTTTACAAATAATAAATGCGCAAATTTTGTCAAGTCTAAAAGTCAAACAAAATGTTGAAGAAATCGGAAATCAGTGATTACTTTTTTTTTTAATGATTTTCGAATTTACATAATTTTGCAATTGCATCAGGAAATTTTAAAATTAGATTATTATCGATTAAATCTAAGGATTTTAAACGACATCACCACCGTCGATTAAAATCGATTGGATTTTCATCGATTATAATCGATATATCTAGAAAGCTATCAATTATAATCAATTGATATATAAATTTATATCGATTATCGTTATTATCAATTTTGATATGAATCGATTATCAACACCACCGTCGATTATAATCGCTTGAAGCCAATCGATTATAATCAATTAATTGTTTGCAGCCGATCATAATCAGGCTTCAAAATTTCCTGGTAGACTAATCGATTAATCGATTAATCTGATTAGTTGACTAATCGAAAGTTGACTATAATCGATTTTTAAAAAATTTTCTGGTCGATTATTTGCGGTTTGCAAAATTTTGTAAATTTTGCAGATCAAAAAAAAATAATCGATTATGATTAACGATTAGTGATTTCTGATTTCTAATCTTTTTTTCATATATTTTTTTAAACTTATACGTAGATTAAACTTTAATATATATTATGTTAATTTTTGTAAAAAACGTAATAAACTCTAATTAATAATATTAACAAGCAAAATCCCGACAACCGACAAAAAAAATCTGATAGTAAAAATCCCGATAGCCAAATCTGACAGTTAAAAATCCCAACAATTAAAAATTCTGATGAAAAATATCAAACAATAGCAAATCCTAGGTTAACTCTTATTTAAAGTAACCTAATTAAATTATAAGAGGTTGCTTCGCTTTATATATACCCCATATTTGGAATTTTCTACTTGAAACTTCTGACTGTCGGGATTTTTTTGTCAGGATTATGACCTGCCAGGATTATACTTGTCGGGATTTTGACTGGCACCCATAATCAAAACCTATTGGATATCATTATGACCTGCCGGGATTATACTTGTCGGGATTTTGAATGGCATCCATAATAAAACCTATTGGATATCATTATGATCTTGATATAGTGATCAAGATCATATAAATATAGCTTACTATCTGATGAAGAGATCTGACTCCAGTCCATCCCCAATGAAGTCTACAATGGGCGCTATTAAGTTATGTACCCATGTAAACTCATTTATTTTTGGAAGATTAGTTTGGTAAGCAGGAATCTTCCATAATTTAATTCTTATATATTAAATTTAAAATAGTAAATTGATATTTATACATATATGTAATATCATCATTTATAATAGAAGCATTGAATTAATAACTTAAATAGAACCAATCAATTTTTTAAATCTTATTAATATTTCATCGCTATTTTTTGGAATTCTGGCTTCTTTGTCTTTTTTACACTTTCTAATACATTTAGCAACAAAGCTTGCAACGTTGCCGGGTAGTGTTATCAATTGAATCCATAGCCCCTCTTGAATTAGATCGTGCATTATTCTTGCTTAATTCCTCGACATCCAGAATTCCGGACAGCAATAATTCATCGCAATTTTCTATTGTTATTTTTGAAATTGCTTGGGCTACTGCTTTTACAACATCGTTAACATTTTGGTGTTGCAACTAATTTAAATAAATTCCATTAATTCGTGCTATAAATCAAAAAAAAAAAAAAAAAATTAAAAATTAAAATCTCTTACATCGGCTATAAAGGCCTTCGCTTGCATAGCCTTAGTTGGTTCCAAAATATACGCATTATAGAGGCCCTCCCAGCCCCTTTTTCCAACAAGGTCTTTTATCTTCAGACCGTAAACAACATATGCATTGTTGTTTCGGGTTTCTTCAAGGAGGTTAAAGAAGTTAATTATTTCGGCTTCCTAAAATATGAGATTTTAGATTAATTCCTCATATCAAGAGTAGGACTGAAATTTTCTTAATAGTTTAACCGTTTAACAGTTTACTTTATATAATCCATATGCAATGTTTAAAATCTTATTGTTTTTATAATGAACATTAATATTATACTTACCATGGACGCCTCTATATTCTCTTTATTTGTAATTTTTAAATAAGCTTGCTCCAAGTCATGTCTGATTTTGTCAATGGGATCTTTGAGGTCGATGCCATTTGTTATAGCATTGAAAAGGCAAAAATCATACATACTTGGAGCAAACTTATTTTTATGAACGAAGCTGGAGTAGTTGCTCATTGTGTTGGCAATGTAAAAAGCAGAAGTGATTATAAACAGCAAATGTGGTTATCGAAAACAGATAATGAAAACTTTACCAAGCAAAAGGATAGCGAAACTACTTATATATACTTTATTTCTATTTAAATACAATTGCGCACAAATATTTTAATGATAAGATTTTAACCCGAAATGGTGAATAAAATATCTTTCATCTAGCACTTCTGATTAAACTCTTTCCCGTAGATCCTAATTCCATAAGTAAACAATAAAACAAAACACGGTAAAAGAGTAAAAGACCTCACAGTAACTATATAACTATCAGTTTAACAACTATACAAACAGTA